ACAGTGGACTGGCCCCCTACTGAAAAAGTTTGCTGACCCCTGAAAAATGTGGGTGGGAAGTAGGGACAAGCATGCTAGCTCCCCACATGTTTAGATCCAGGTGAATTTGGGTGGGCTTTTGAATTCAGGTCGGAAAGGACTTGAGGTAAACACTTCTTTGGGGGAAGAAGGAATTAGCTCACAATTAAGAAGTGGTATAAATGTCTCCTCTGCCTCCTTTATCAAAACAGTAGGCATAAAAGCCGCTAGAAGCTGCTAGCAAGTGTAACTCCTACCAGGCATCTACAAAACGACCAGAAATGGTCCCTGGAATGATGAAGCATTATGTTCAGAAACATTGGCCTGGATAAAATGTTAGAGCTCATCTAGACTTCCTTTTGTTCTGCATTTCTAGACACAGATCAGCACTTAAAAGTGCCGTGTCCGAACACTGCTGTTGTCGTTCGTCTGAATTTCTGTTTGTTCTGATCCAGCATTAAATAATTTTTATGGGGAAAGTGCTAGGGCGAAATGGAGGGGGGCATTGCACAGATCTGCTCCTAGAAAGTGCGGGGCACAAGGTAAGTGTGGCTGATCCCAAAGTCAAACTAACTTACGCCCCTTAACTTTCATGGTTCTAGTCTGAGTACAACTTACTTGGATAGAGCTCAACTATTGGGGTGAGGGAACGCCTGTCCCCAGTGCCAGCCACATTTTGAAAGTGCAAATGGGAGTTGTGCTTCCGAACTCCTTTCCTACTGAACGATGAATGTCATCTATAAGGTCTTCAAATAGACACAGAAAATTTAACCTCTTCCAGGCCACTTTTTCCTAACAATGTTTTTGTGCTGCTGGTTTGTACTGAACTCCCATTACGACAGTTTGGAGCGACACATCTTAAAGCGCCTTCTTGTTTTTTTTCTGCCATATGAGAATTGTGCGCTAGAAAGCTGCCTTAAAATAACATTTCAATATGTTTTTTATGAAAACGGTAGTAAGCAATCATTATTTATAATTCAATACATTATACAAACGATATTAAATATTCAACAGTTCTTGTTTTTAATTCTGGAACCCCAGAGGTATTCATAAACAGGTGTCAAGAATTAAATACCCCTAAATGAAGGATGTGAGTCTACTGACTTCTGTAGCAAACAAAACCCCTTCACTCTTGTATTTGCTGAGTCATGGAGCAGAGCAACTGAGGTAACAATATTTGCCAAGTGACTGTATTTGGCTGTACAGTTAACAGTCAATTAATATTTCAGGTATAGGGCTTTTATTTTATTTTAATTTATTTTATTTTACAAACTTTATTTTACGCAGTCATCCACATGGCACCAACGCAAACTTGGAAAATCTACAACATTACAGATTCAGCTCACATCTGCAAGGTATACTGGAGAGATCATTTATCCATAGCGACTGCTGCGATGGAGACAGAAGAGAGATTGCCATTAGATAGCCATTCATAAGCCATATAAATTGAGGCCTTTTGGAGCCAAACCCACCTTTCTTTCTTATTCCTCTTATCCCTCTCTGATAACTGTACATCCCAAGTATAAAGGTAAAGGACCCTTGACCGTTACGTCCAGTCGTGACCGACTCTGGGGTTGCGGCGCTCATCTCGCTTTATTGGCTGAGGGAGCCGGCGTACAGCTTACAGGTAATGTGGCCAGCATGACTAAGCCGCTTCTGGCAAACCAGAGCAGCGCATGGAAACACCGTTTACCTTTCCGCTGGAGCGGTACCTATTTATCTACTTGCACTTCGTGTTTTCGAACTGCTAGGTTGGCAGGAGCAGGGACCGAGTGACGGGAGCTCACCCCGTCACAGGGATTCGAACCGCCGACCTTCTGATTGGCAAGTCCTAGGCTCTGTGGTTTAACCCACAGCGCCACCTGCGTCCCATATCCCAAGTATACTTCAGCCAAATTTGGAGAGAGGCTGGCTCATTTCTCTGCATTGCTAGAGGTGGTGTTGAGTTGAAAATTCCCCTAACACAGAGCCCGCCCAATGTTGCTGGGTACTCTAACAGCATGGCCAGTGGTCAGGAATGATGGGAGTTGTAGTTTGGCATCATTTGGAAGTCCACAGGTTCTCCACCCATGCCCTAAGAGCTTTTCACCCAACCTTTGAGGTGGACATGCTGCCCCAAGCTCATGTTTTTCCCCACCAGTCTCAGTTTTGGGGTGGCAGGGCTTGTCCCCCTGGCAGCAGCGATGCTACTCTGGCAGAAGGGTGGCATCACTCCTCCACCCAACAAGAGATGGTCAGTGATGAGGCAGCTCTGTTCCCTGGTCAGGGGAAAGCAGAGCTGGAGGAAACTTTGGGCCCAATCTTCACAGCTACGTTCTTTGGCTGTGAAAGTGAGGAAGGAGGCAATTTCTGCAATTTTCATGAGTGGGCCGGAAAACCGTCACAATTTTTGAGGTGGTTTCTGAAAGCAGAGAGGCTTGCCTCCCTTTTGGAGGGGGGGAAGAAGACTTCTTGCTCTGCAGCAGGTGGCTGTAGGACTCCCATTTCTCCACCACAATGCCTACGGAAATATTTTCTCTTGCCCCCAAAGTTCGCTGCCTTTCCTAGCTCTTTCCAAAAAGCCAACTGGAACTTGCAGCGCACAGACCTGGGGGATGGAGAGAGGACAACCAGATGTCTGAGGTGTAGCTGCCACCTCTTCATCCCAACCCTGCCACCTTGGAAAGTCACCAAAATTCTCCCACCCACGTTTTACTGACCTCAAGTGGGGCAATGGAATGTGCGGCATTTGGTTCATCCTTGACATCCAGACTACAAATGACGCAGAAGACGTGTGATTCATAGGACGTTTGTTTCTGCAGAAAGTCAACAAATTTTATTTTCATTTCTTGTCATGCAGGAGATGGGTCTGTTCTATATTTGCCAGATGTTTTTGGCCATGTTTGCAGAAAGTTAATATCTATATGTCACTTTAAAACCTCAGTTCTCCCAGGAGTTCGCTGGAATCTGTACACAGCAGCAGGCCCGGGCTGTGTATGCACGGCTGTTTACTCCAACTCCGTCCCAGTGCTGGTGTTTGAAGCTGAAGGCACATGGCTTTAGCCACAATCTACCTGTATCCTGTAGTTTCTTGAGAAATGCTGCTAATTGATGGGTTTCCTCTCAAACCAGCTTCCATCTGAGTAAAAAACGTAAGCTATGGTTATGCTAAGGTAGGTACATTTTCGATAATCATTGTGCATGTTTAGATTTCGGCTTCCTTGAGCAGGAATTTGGGGAGGGGTGCGGGTGTGAGGAAGCAAATCAGGTGTTGCGTACAGCAACATAAATCTGGGGAGAAACAACTTTGCTGTGTTTTCAGCTGTCAATGTGTACATGCCCTGTACCTTTAAAGGAAATTTGAGAGCTCATTCTTTCTGGCAAAGAAATCTGGGCACTGCAGTTTATCCCTCGCAGAGTTATGATTCCCAGCAACCCTTAACAAACCGCAGTGCCCAGAATTCATTGGGTGTGTGTGTGTGTGAATGTGCTTCAAAAGGGCTTTAAGGATACAGTGTGTGTCAGTGCTGACATGATATTGAAAAAGTCTTAACTCTCCACTTGGACCCAGGTGCTGATTAATTTACTGTAAATATCCCAGTAATTACACACCGGCACACAGGCACACACACCCCTACTACATGTCAGTCTGGCCAATATTTTGGTAAGAATGGTAGAGTACATTATTTGAATGCCTAAACCTGTCTATCAGAGCTATGATCCTTGAGACTGCAATTGCTGGTCAGTGAACTTGTAGGCCAGTGGTCTGATTCAGAACAAGACGGTTTCATATGCTCATCTGGATAAACCTTTCTTGCAATGTGAGTGCAGAACCCATTAATGGTAGCCATTACATCAAATGCCACTACTAGTTCATCTCTCCATCTCTAGCCTGAATTCACTTTTACAACAGCAAGAAACCACCTTGTTTTTTTCTAACAAGACCATTCAGATTCCTAACATCACATTTGTGTATGTTGCAGTTCACAATCCCCTCTGCTATTGACTGATATAAGTAGCACAGTATTCTACCACTGAAATTCTAATGCTAAAACAAGTGATTATAAAAGGTTTCCTTTTTTAAAAACATTTCTTGTTTAATCATCTGTTTATTTCTTTTCAGAGGTTTCTTTCAGCCCGCAGATCTCAGGGTAGGTTACAAAATTTGAAAACAGCAATAATACACCAACATTAAATAAATAAGAGGAGGTAAAACACAGAGTTAAACCTAGCAAAGTAAAACCTGGCAGTGGACTGATGCACAAAGACTTTCTTTAAAACACTACATGGATTTTACATTTGCATCAGTCACTAGAAGGAATTGAGATGGTGTTTGCGGACTTATGTGGAACCATACAGACCTCTAGTGGTGCGAAATGGAAACAAATGCACACATTGATAGCAAATTTGTCAGGTTGTGAGGAGTCTTGCACACCAGGGAAATTTTGCTAGCCTTACCAAAAGCCTCTTTGCTTTCCCCAGGGTTCCGTAGGTTTTTCTCCCAAGAAGGAACCACAAAATTCACCTCAAGAATTTCACATTAGGAAATATTCAGTGGAAATACTCTAGACCTCAGCTTTATCCAGTGCAGGGAGAGTTACTTCACTATCTCCAGAACGCCCATTAATGTTTTTAGTCAGGCAAGACACAAACGACACCATCTGACCAAAGACACGTAGGAATGTATGCAAGGCACAACCTATGTTCCTTAGTCCTACCAAAATTACTTTTGCCTTCCAAATTTATCCCATGAATTCACATTAGTCTATGAGGAAGCTGTTGCAAATGCACAGTCATTGAAACCCACTGGAAGTAAGGGTTTTGAAAATGACAGTTGTTAAGTTGTGGTTGAACATATCAGACGACACAGCGATTCTTCAAACAGCTCTTGTTTATTCACAGGCCAGGACAGAACTGAACTGAAGAGCTCTGTCAGCCTGCTTATATAGAGCTCCAGTACAACGTAACTGTAGCAACTTTCTAAAACTATCCAATCACTGAACGTCACTTTCGATCCCTTATTTGCATAACTATCTACAGTATCCCCCTGCTGGCCCAGGGTGAGAACTTCAGTACATGACAACAGTAACTTTAACCCTTTGGGGACATCGCATAGCATGGAGCGAGGGTGAAAGCTGATACCCTGGCCTTTGCCCACCTTGGGGGCTCCTACTGGCTCTGCCCCTGCCCTGGGCATATTTTAGGACTCCCTTTTGTTCTGTGTTTGTAAGTTGCTTTAAACTGGGATCTTAGGATGAAGGGTGAGATGAAGATCATGATAATAATGATAGGATAGGATAGGATAGGGAGAGGACCCTGGACAGCATTACTGATGATGATTATGATGATTATATTAATTAAATTGATACACCATCCTTCATCTGAAGATCACAGCATGCGGACTCAACAGTGCATGTGACCATACTACTTTTTCATATGCTGCTACCCACAAAGAAAGGAAAATGCCTAAGACTTCGAGCTGTAATCAATGTGATAAAACCGTGCAATGAATCATTTCCATCCAGCTGTTCAAATAAAAGCACCAAATTCATCCTGGTGTCTGCACATCTTTTAGTGCTCACTCCACGAACAAATAAATAATTTTGCTTGTTAACCTTCGCAACAAAGGAGAGGGGGGGGGGAGCCATACCTGGGGAAGCTCTGCCAAAGTCAGGGAAAGGAATCTCCGTCCTCAGAAGAAAATTGCGCAGAAACAGACAGTGCTTCCAGCTCTTCATTTGCCATCTGCAGTGCCTGCCGGAAGAGTCAAACGAGGTTGCGTCTTGTGGGTGTCCTTGAAGAAAGTACGGGGAAGGCTGCTCTCACAGGGTAAGTCTGCTCCAGTTACACACATTTCCACTTGTTTCCAAGAAACTCGGTTCAGCTAGAACTCTGCACATGCCCCTTGCGCATTGTGTTCATTTGGCTTTGCCTCAAGCTGAGAGTATACGATGCCATTGCAAAGGAATGAGTTCAAGCTAAGGATAAAAGGAAGCTCTGGTTCTTCCTGCCATATATATTCTGAATGGTAGTTGCCACACAGAGGAATTTTCCTACTAAAACCCATGTACACTAGAGATTAAGTGTAAGCCTAATTAGCCCTCAGAACCCCTGGAAGTGAATGCCTGTATTTGGTATTAATTAATCCTGGACAATTAAAATGGCATCCTCTGGCAAGTGCCTTAGCCCAGCAATCAGATTAAGGCTAAATTGTGCATTGTCCAAATTTAAGTTTCTAGGGAAATGCCTCCACTTTCTATACCTCAGTTACCTTGCTGCAAATTCTGATTATCCAGACATCCCTCCTGACCTCCCAGTCACTCTCGCCAGTGGTAAAATCATATTGTGACATTCAGTAAGGGTCTACTACTTGCAGCCATTGTCATTTAAAGTCCATCTCCATTCTTAATGAGAGCACCCTCTGCAGTGCTGGATTTATATATAAGCTAAACAAGCTATAGCTTAGGGCCCCACTCTCCCCCAAAAAATTAAAAGAAGAAAAAAACTGGATGTACATTTCCAAAATATAAGATAAAAAACAAATAAAATAAAACCTACATACAGCAACAGTGTTTTGTGTTGTGTAGGCTCCTGCTAGCCTGCTAGCCTGCTCCCTAAAATATCACCGGTTTGCTATTATTATTTCATGTTATAGCAAGTTTCTAGAGATGAGATTATGAGTCTCTGTAAACTGTGTTTCTAAAGCAACTTTTGTTATTGACAAATGCCAATGTGTTTGCATTATTAAGTTTGTTATGAATAAAAATCATTTTAAGTTAGAGCTTAATAATTATTTGACTACAGTGGTACCTCGGGTTAAGTACTTAATTCGTTTCGGAGGTCCGTTCTTAACCTGAAACTGTTCTTACCCCGAAGCACCACTTTAGCTAATGGGGCCTCCTGCTGCTGTGACGCCGCCGGAGCAAAATTTCTGTTCTCATCCTGAAGCAAAGTTCTTAACCTGAAGCACTATTTCTCGGTTAGCAGAGTCTGTAACCTGAAGCGTATGTAACCTGAAGTGTATGTAACCCGAGGTACCACTGTATTAAGTTTGTTATGAATAAAATATTTTAAGTTAGAGCTTAATAATAATTTGACTATTAATATACTTCTTCTTAATTGTATTTCAGTACAACAATTACTTTGATAAAACACATACTCTGTTATGTGCAAATAGCTTTAGATACCTATTAGGTCCATAAATTACCATATAGCATATATTCATCAACAAAAAGCAACATTTGTTGTTGACAAAGGACAGCTGGACTTATAAAGGGCCTCATTGCCTTTAGTAGCTTAGGGCCTCAACAAACCTAAATCCGGCCCTGGCCCTCTGTGTCAGAGCTCTTGCCAGCAAGCCAGCCCCTTCCTAACAGCTGGGCACCTCTCATTCCCCAGTTTTTCACCCTTCCCCAGCTTTATGGGGTTCCCCAGGAAGGCTGCCTTCTCCAAGCTTGATCCAATGCCATGGATACCTAAAGGAGCAATATTTCTTCCTCAGCTTAGCCTCGACCCCTTACCCTTCTTGCCTCTTGTCGTCCTCTCCAGGGTTCTAGGCCATGTTTGATGCTTTCATTTTGGGTTTCGTCAGGATAGTTGCAGGAAAGCAAAAGCCAGCATCTCCAAAAAGGGTGCTTTGTATGTTTTTGGACCTTTACTGGGAGGGTTCTGTGGAACCCATGGCAGAATCAAATGCAGGTTCTGAGCTGCTCTCAGCCTGGTTTTGGCTGGGGAGGGCGGGATATAAATAATTTATTATTATTATTATTATTATTATTATTATTATTATTATTATTATTAAATGTACCAAGGCCTTTGGGGGGGGGGCAGAGGAAATCTGAAGACTGGTTGGATTCTTGGGCCAGGAAGCAGAAACAAATTAATCCAGTTATGTTTAACCACCAGAAATTCATCACCCAATTCAACAACTTATTATTGGAGACAGCTGTGATTGAACCCCTACAAGGAGGGATGTAAGTACCAGCAATTTCCATCCCGACCTGTATCCACCATGATCAATGCTGTTTCTGTACTGCTGCAGTTCTGTTGTTTAGTCGTGTCCGACTCTTCATGACCCCATGGACCAGAGCACGCCAGGCACTTCTGTCTTCCACTGCCTCCCGCAGTTTGGTCAGACTCATGCTGGTAGCTTCGAGAACACTGTCCAACCATCTCGTCCTCTGTCGTCCCCTTCTCCTTGTGCCCTCCATCTTTCCCAACATCAGGGTCTCCTCCACAGAGTTTTCTCTTCTCATGAGGTGGCCAAAGTACTGGAGCCTCAGCTTCAGGATCTGTCCTTCCAGTGAGCACTCAGGGCTGATTTCCTTCAGAATGGATGTGTTTGATCTTCTTGCAGCCCATGGGACTCTCAAGAGTCTCCTTCAGCACCAGAATTCAAAAGCATCAATTCTTCGGCGATCAGTCTTCTTGATGGTCCAGCTCTCACTGGACCAACTGCAGTTCAGTTTCTGCCAAATACCACATTATTTATCTCTCTCTCCACTATTTAACATAAGTTACGTAACTTATGTAACTATTTATATAAGATACATCCATGTAAATAAAACATGAAAACAATGTAAAAAAAAATCGTAGTAGGTATCACTTGCAGACTTAAAACAAAAGCAACAATCTGAACAGATACTGATCGTATTCTCTTAACTGATTTCCATTCCTGACTACAGATAAAAATGTGAACTGCAGCCATTTCCACTCCTGTTTCCATTTTTGTTGGAATTCCCTGACATCCCAACCTTTTGTCTTAAAATTTATTAGAACTGAATATTTAGCCACTCTCTGTGCTCTACAAGCAAAAATTGTTATGGCCTCCGTTTGCAAGGAACACCCAAGAATTCTGCTGTTAGGCTCCTGAAAACGGAGGCAGAGAAAAATGGAAATGTAATCTGGGGAGCCTTACCAGACAGCATCCTTTTGTAACTAACTAACTAACTAACTAACTAACTAACTAACTAACTAACTAACTGTAAACAGGATGTGTACTCCGCTGAAGTTCCTATAAACGAGGCAACAACTTACATTTCTACTCCAAAATAAAACCTCTTTAGAACCTTGTGTTTATGATATTACAGTGGTACCTCGGGTTACATACGCTCCAGGTTACACACTCCGCTAACCCAGAAATATTACCTTGGGTTAAGAACTTTGCTTCAGGATGAGAACAGAAATCGTGCTCTGGTGGCGCGGCGGCAGCAGGAGGCCCCATTAGCTAAAGTGGTGCTTCAGGTTAAGAACAGTTTCAGGTTAAGAACGGACCTCCGGAACGAATTAAGTACTTAACCCGAGGTACCACTGTACTTTGTATTTTCATAACCCCTTCAAGTGGGCAAAGTGAGCTCTACACCTTATCTCAGAATGCGATACCAGAAGTCTGACAGGTAGGTCAGTATGATCAAGGACTGTGTTTGTTGATGGGATTCTGATTCACAACTAAGTATCTTGGCTATTCCTCTATGGTGACAGCAGCAAATGCCTGAACAGATAATACACAGCATGAGATAGCATGAGAGGGTCTTTCCCAGACATGTCAGATCTAATCATTTCTTACCATGGAAAGGCTTCCTTAATCTTTGGCAATCAGTCTTACTTATTTCCTTTGAACATACACAGTCTGTCCTCCCTTGAGCTGCAAAGTCTATTCTGTGCTTATAAGGTAAAGGTAAAGGGACCCCTGACCATTAGGTCCAGTCATGACCGACTCTGGGGTTGTGGTGCTCATCTCGCTTTATTGGCCGAGGGAGCCGGCGTACAGCTTCCGGGTCATGTGGCCAGCATGACTAAGCCGCTTCTGGCGAACCAGAGCAGCGCACGGAAACGCCGTTTACCTTTCCACCGGAGTGGTACCTATTTATCTACTTGCACTTTGATGTGCTTTCGAATTGCTAGGTTGGCAGGAGCAGGGACCGAGCAACGGGAGCTCACCCCATCGCGGGGATTCGAACCGCCGACCTTCCAATCAGCAAGCCCTAGGCTCTGTGGTTTAACCCACAGCGCCACCCGTGTCTGTGCTTATACAGTTCTGCTAAATATAGTTCACTGCTTCTTGTCACCTTCTGCATTTTGGAAAACCGGTTTAAAAAAGATATTTATTAAAGTTTTCCAGATTAATACAATAGAAAAAGAGATAACAAATAAAAAATAAAAATAACAAAAAATAGAAAAATATAAGAAAGTTTAAAAACACATAAGGTTCATCATGCTTATTTTTCATTAACATGTTTCCCCGACCTCCTCAAACCTCCCTTCCTTATATTCCAGTTCAAATTGTTTACTCAGCAAATTATTAATTCTCAAAGTTGATTTTGCTTATTCCCCAATCTTATTTTTCATCTCTTGAAACTTTACAGCTGGAAACCACTTAATTTCTATCCAACATCATTCTAACATTCCTTAATTTTACAATATTTCTGAAGATAATCTTTAAATTTCTTCCAGTCTTCTTCCACCGACTCTTTCCCCTGGTCTCGGATTCTGCCGGTCATTTCTTCCAGTCCCATATACTCTATCACCTTCTAAAAAGTTCCCTCTCTACACAATAAAGAACCCCCAGCCTGGCCATAAAGTATAGAACTGATCCATGTTGAAAATGTCCATAAAAGTTCACCAGAATCTTACAGACTCATATTTAAATGGTGGCGATTGATGTGTTCTGTAGTTCTAGACCAGCTTTCCTCAACCTTGGGACACCAGGTGTTCTTGAACTACAACTCCCATCATCCTTGACCACTGGCCATGCTGGCTAGCAATGATGGGAGTTGTAGTCCAATGGCATCAAGGGACCCAAGGTTGAGAAAGGCTGTTCTGGATATTACCGCCAGGTGGAGCTGCAATACCATGGCCCATGTGATGTGTGGTCTAGGCAGTCTTGAAATGGTTTTGTGTAATGGAAGAGGTGAAAAGGGACCGTGAGATGCACTCAAAGATGTTAGTTATTACATTTTAGATGGTTTTCTTTCCCCATCTTTAACCCCACAACCCCCTGGGGGGGTAGACTATGAGATAATAGGTTTACAATCCAATTCACCACACTGGGGTTGCTTCCAGACTATTGTTATGTCCAGGCAGAATTCAAACACATAGAGGTAAATTCAGGTTTTGCTGGTATGGTGCTCTTGTGCAACAGATCTGTTTCTCTTAAAAATTGGACTTTTTGCAGAAAGGAAAGCATTAGAAAAACACTGGAAAGTGTGGAATAATATTTGCTTGATGCAGCACCATCCAATCTCACGAACAAATGAGGAGGAATGTTCAATAAATAAGGTATCTAGAAACAATCTGGCTCACTAGAGTAGCTTACCTTCAAATGCTAAAAGAAAACTGCTGTGCTATAGGGTAGACAGCAAGGCTGAGAAGCAAAAAAGGTTCAAATTTCTCAAATCCCTAGTTCAATAATCACCTCTGCCGAAAACCACAAGTTGGCCTTACGTTAAGCCACTCAGCCACAGCAGCCTGCCTTCCCATCAGCAATATTAAGATAAAGTTACTGATGAATCTTACAGAGTTGTCGAAATGCAGCAGGATAATGTGTTTGTACACTTAGAAGTGTTACGTACTAAGTCTTATTCTAAAGATTGCGTGGTTGCAGACACTGGAATTTTGCATGTTGTCAAAGGAGAGAGAATAACAGTTGGTCCAAGTTATTTATTTCATAATGTGCACTGCAGCCTTCTAAATACAGCAGCTTTTAAGGTTATCTTAAAGCAGTTGTGGAAAACCTCAGGCCTGCCAGCCCTCTCCCTTGCCAGCAAGGGAACAAATTGCGGTCAAAAACTTCAGCAGTTTATTATGACTATTTCCTATTTATATATTGCAATCACTGCACGTTACACATTACAGCATAAGAGAAGCACATCCACAATGACTAGTCCTTGCCCTGAGGAACTTGCAATATAAATTTCAATGACAGAAGAGACAGCAAAGGGAGATTGCAGAAGGAAGAGTCGCAAGGGGTCAGTACAATACAATACAATACAATACAATACAATACAATACAATACAATACAATACAATACAATACAATACAATAGCAAATGCACCTATGTGCTTACATTTCATTTCTGCTGGGGGGAGACTAAGCAGTTAAGTGAAAGAGGTGAGCTTTGAGGATGGGACTGGCATTGTGTAGGAATTTTAAGAGGAACGTAGAGGGCATGGCAAGGCTAAGAAGCTAGCAGAGTTTAAGTGAACAGGGGGAGACTTTGCAGCACCTGAGGGTGTTACAGTCAGAAGTGCAAACTTCACTGACTGGGATATATTTCAAAATAAAGGCAGAGGGAAGGAAGTTCCCTGGATAGCTTTGATAACAAGGACAGTGAGTTCGTGCTGGACATTGGATTAAAACCAGGCATGTCCATTGTGCTTCATAGGTAAAGGTAAAGGGACCCCTGACCATTAGGTCCAGTCGTGACCGACTCTGGGATTGCGGCGCTCATCTCGCTTTATTGGCCGAGGGAGCCGGCGTACAGCTTCTGGGTCATGTGGCCAGCATGACTAAGCCGCTTTTGGCGAAACCAGAGCAGCGCATGGAAACGCCTTTTACCTTCCCGCCAGAGCGGTATCTACTTGCACTTTGACGTGCTTTCAAACTGCTAGTTTGGCAGGAGCAGGGACTGAACAATGGGTGCTCACCCCATCGCGGGGATTAAAACCTCCAACCTTCTGATCAGCAAGTCCCACAGCGCACCCGCGTCCCTATTGTGCTTCATAAATGGCAATAAATAGCTGTTTTTCTTGGTGCACTGGCAAGTCTGAGATAACACTTGCTTGACACAACATCGTCTAATCTCCCCGCAAGCAAATCGGGATAAATGCTCAATATACAGGTCATTTGCTCATAATGGCAGGACACCTCACTTGCAGAAGCAGAAACTCCCAGGTCTTAAAGGCTCTCTTATGTTCCCTGAGGTATAAGGAAAAGAAATTCCCTCAACCTTCCCTCTCATTTTCAAGGATATAAGGCACTGGCCCTTTCACATTGCCTGCTGGTAATCATTTATTATTGCTGTGCATGGTGTTTTACAAAGCGAAAATAGCAAAACACAGGACCCAGCTCCAAATCCATCTAGATTACTGTTAGGTTGTGGGTGAACATATCAGACGACACAGCGATTCTCCAAACAGCTCTTGTTTATTCACAGGTCAGAACAGAACTGAACTGAAGGGTTCAGCCAGCCTGCCTATATAGAGCTCCAGTACAATGTAACTGTAGCAACTTTCTGTAACTATCGAATCACTGAACGTCACTTTCGATGCCTTATTTGCATATGTGGACCTGAACTATCTACAGTATCCCTCTGCTGGCCCAGGGTGAGAACTTCAGTACATAACAATTACCATCTAGATTTAAATATTGGGGGCAGCCTTTCATGAGTCAGCCGAAACACCTTGCTTTCATACAGATCTAAAAATTTGGTTTCTGGTTGTCCTGATTGAGAATTAAAACTTTAAAGTTGTTCTTTTGAATGCGAAAACATTTTATTAATAAAAGCTGTGATTCTTGCATTTTAATCAAGGGAAAATTGATTCAGGGGAAAACATATGACAATGTTCTACAGGTGGTGTTTAACCCCCAGCAAATTAGCAAAGATGTACAGTGGTACCTCTCAAGACGAATGCCTCGCAAGATGAAAAACTTGCAAGACGAAAGAGTTTTTCGTTTTTTGAGTTGCTTCACAAGACAAATTTCCCTATGGGCTTGCTTTGCAAGACGAAAACGTCTTGCAAGTTTGTTTCCTTTTTCTTAAAACCGTTAATACCCAGGGTGCATTGCTTCGCAAGACGAAAAATTCGCAAGACGAAAAAACTCGCAGAACAAATTAATTTCGTCTTGCGAGGCACCACTGTATAGAACATGTTCCAGCATATGCTGGAGGTGTAAACAGGCTGAAGGGACAATGATTCATATGTGGTGGGGCTGCAATAAAATTAAAAAAATTTGGGACACAATATACGAAGAAATTAAAAAAACTTTTAAACAAACTTTCAAAAAGCAACCCAGAAGCCTTCCTCTTGGGAATATTGGGACCAGAGTTCTCTAAGGGAAAAAAAGAATATTCTTATATGCTGCAACAGCAGCTAGAATACTGGTTGCCAAAAAATGGAAAGGTGAAACGATACCATCAAAAGAGGAGTGGCAGGAGAAACTGTTTGAATATCTTGAAATTAGCTAAATTAACTGAGATAATTAGGGGACAGTCAACCCAAAGGTACAAAAATGAATGGAGAATTTATAAAGAATATTTAATTAAAAATTGTCCACAATGGACATGTTTTGACTAAACTCCGCAAGTTGCAAGTTAGATTAAGAATACATGAGACATAATAGAAGAAAGAAATTGAGTAAGGAATATGGAAATAGCGATAACAAAAAGGGGGGAAAGGATGAACCCTCAATGAGGAGTTTGGAAGCCATATGGAGGAATTAATACCGTATTTTTCGCCCCATAGGACGCACCTAGTTTTTTTCGCCCATAGGACGCACCTAGTTTTTTGGGGGGGAAATAAAGAAAAAAATATATTTCCCCCCCCAGGTGCAGGGCTGGGGCAGGGGAAGCCTGAGCTTCCCCCCACCCCAGCCCCCAGAACAGGCTGCTATCCGCAAGCCGTGGGAGAGCTGCTCTCCCATGGCTAGCATAGAGCTGCGCGAAGCCTGAAGCTTGGGGCATGCTGAGCTCAGCGCGCCCCAAGCTTCTGGGTGCGGCAAGCTTCCGCTGCCGTGGAGAGCTGCGTTCCAGGCTAGCGGACAGCTTCCTGAAGCTGAGAGCGAGGGTTAACCCCCTCGTCTCCAGCTTCAGCGAAGCTGCATTGCCCATAGACGACACACTTCCTTATTTGAGGAGGAAAAAATGCGCCATAGTGGAAAAATACGGTAATTTGAATAAGGAAAAGATTAAACATGTATTATTTTTGGAAATCAATAAAAGCAAGGCTTTTAAAAAAAATGTTTGTGGGCATGTGGACTGTATACTACTTTACCGCTACTGATAGGATGTTTTTATTTGCTTCACATTCTGCATGTGCCATCACTCTGAATGATACAGGACACACACCATGGTCACTTACAGGCTGACTTTTTGGTTGTCACGTTGGATGAACCAATACAAGGTAAACCATAGTTGATGACAGCTGATATGGGCAGGGAATGCAGATATATGACAGTTATTCTCAGTTTTAATTTACTTAACCCATAGAGAGTTTATAAGTGACTTAAAAAATTCAAAAGCTTTGCATAAAATGGAAAAAATGCATTGCAATAAAAGTCTATTATTATTATTATTATTATTATTACCCCACCTTTTGCTGCTGACAGGTACTCAAAGCAACTTACAGATAAAATAGCCCATAGAGCAAAACCAGTGAAATGACAGTAAAAGGCTCAGAGGTAAAAACACACCAACAATTGACAGCAAAATTGTGCTAATCCACCAGATGCCTGGGGAAAGAGACAAGTTTTTACCTATCACCCAAACAATCTTAGTGATGGCATGAAGGAGACCTCTGGACCTTCCTGTGCCGGATTATTGCTTTATATGGTGTGCAGCATCTTCTGCCATTCCGGTGACAGAAAGGTCATGAGAAAGAACAGTCATGAGACATAGTTATGGTCTTTTACTGGCTGTCCCCAATGGCAAGGCCCTGCCCTGGGCTTAAGAACATAGAGAGATGGGAGATACAGTTCTAAGGACACGTCTTTTGATGTCTATAACATCTGACAGCATTTCCCTGCCTTTGCCCAGCAGATGGCAAGAGTGTGTTGGTGGTTCTTCGTCGAAGTCATTGAGTTGTTTCACACAGGAAGGGCTGGCTTTGCTGAATCTGATATTCCTCTCTCTCTCTCTCTCTTTCCACTTCCTGCTGCATATGGTTCAAATTCTCTCCCACATAATGCTTGTCTAACTACTAATCTGTTTTACTTGAAGAAGCTTCTCTTTTTTAAAAAATAATAATTTTTATTAACCGACCAATCAAATCAAATCAATCAATCACATCACATAAATTCTGAATTACAAAGCCGAATTTTAATTTTTTGTTGGGGGACCCATATTTCAAGTTTCGAAGGGGATTCCAATCATCTTCTTGCTGCTGCGTTAATATCCACAAATCTGTCCAAATAATGTTCATAATTCTATCCAGTCCTATCTTGCTGTTCTCACATCTCATCTTGTTTGTATATTATTCTTTTTTCTTTATGATCTCTTCTGATAATTTCCTTAAGCAGGTAAACACCAGTTATAATCCTGTGTGAATTTTCAGTTTGTCCAATCATCATGTCGAGATGGTTTCCATATATCATCACTTTCATAAAGAATAACACTCTTTCCATCATCAGTCTCGCAATTCTGTCGCCTTCTTTAGTCCCTCTGAGGAGGCTCACCCACAATATGAAAACAGATCTATCCCTCCTCCCAGACATAAGTCTTTCGACAGAACTTGCCAAAATGGCGACACTATTTTTTGCTGCGACATTCCAAAGCTCGTATACTTTCTACGGTCTCCTTAAAACATGCTTTAGTTAGAAAATTATCTCCACACAGTCTTAAATCCTCAGTTTAAGTCATTTAAACGGCATTTCTGACTTGTGACTTGTGTGTCCCCCCCATCCAGTCCCGTTGCTGAACATACCGAGCCTTGGTGTGTCTTCTCATGATTTATTCCTGTTCCTCCGACCCGTCTTGTTTCTCAGAGATCTCTTCGGTTAGCAGTCTTTACTCCCCATTCTTCCTTGAAATATGTGCATTAGCTTCCTCCTAATTGTTTCTTTTGAAGTTGCTGCAGCTAGAGGCGTGAATCAGAGACAGCGTCCAGGAGCGCCGAAGTCCGCACAAGGGCTTTCTGCCTAGTGCCCCCACCCCCTCAAATTCGGGGGTGGTATAGGGCACAGCAGGCAAGGGCAGTCCCCCCCACCCACTTGGGGGGGGGCCGGGAGGCTGTTTACTCCCATCACAGCCTCTTAATTACCTCGTGTGGGTCGGAGAGATGTTATTGTCAGCCATCTTCCGATGCGCCCCTAGTGGCCCCCCTACTTGAAGAAGCTTCTCAAGACACATCTTTTGTCTTTTTTCATCCTGAAGCTCTTATTTTCGATAGCTGAGCTATTAACTCCTGTCCCTTCTCTATGCCTTCTTGTGCCTACATTACTTAAGAAAACCACAGGTGCGCACGCTCACACACACGCACGGTCCAGCCCACGGAGGGATCTCCGTGGGACCAATCCGGTCCAGGCAAGATAAATCTTGCCGACCCCTGCTATAGTTCACCCAGGTCTGGTGGATATTACTTTGGCCTCTGCTTCTCTGGTGTTACTGGAAGTTGATTCCAATCTAAAGTTGTTCCAGCAGAACTCCAATCCTGGGCGATTGTCCACTGCATGAGCATAGGGACTAAATCAAACACTGTATCGCTTCAACCCCATAGGAAAAGAGGAAGGAGATGTGGAGTCTCAGGACTCATATTTGTTTCGTGGTTTTACCCCTACTTGTCGAAGGCCATAACATCTTTCGATTTGTGCTCCATCCACATCACAGGCTCCAGCAGAGTTCCAATGAGGGGGTGGGCACAATGTCTCCAAAAAGGCTGTAGGCTATGCCACTGCAACACAGAGATAGGACAGTGGCATCAAGTGCAAGGTGCTTTGAAGGCCCAAAGTCAGAACTTCCAAGCACCTTGTGAGGTGCTGCTAAAGGGGAGGTTGTTTTTTTCCTGTTGGCATGTGGCAGTGGCTGCAGGGTGCTTCGTTGGTGCTCATACACCAGTGGATCCTTCCCAGATACATGGCCAGTGGTTAAGTAGTCAGTGTAATTGAATTAGACATTTTGTTTTTAGTACTTCTGCTTTGTTTTTAATTGCTAATTTTAACTGTAATTTGATTAAGAAGTTACAGGTAGGTAGCCGTGTTGGTCTGCCTTAGACATAAATAAATAAATAAATATTCCTTCCGGTAGCACCTTAGAGACCAACTAAGTTTGTTATTGTGCTTTAGTTGGTCTCTAAGGTGCCACTGGAAGGAATTTTTATTTATTTTGTTATGATTAAGAAGGATTCATCTATCTGTATTGTTTGACTGATGGAGATCACCAATATAGCTGATCTATATTCTTCTCCTTTCCTTCCCACTGCAGTTCCAGTTTCTGGCCACTGCTGTCTACGCCTCTTGCAATCTGCTTGCGGTGCATATATTCC